GATTGGATAAATCAGTTCAAAATAGCCCAAAGTTTTGATATTTTTTGTGAGAGAACATCATATGTATAGAGGAACATGCTGTTGAAGGATAATATTAGCTTCTTTTCATCTATTGCACAGCCCTTCTTCCTAACGTTACACATATGTTGAAAGGTTATAACCAATATTGAGTGAACAGATATCGACAAACTGTTATACTGTTAGTTATAATAGATGGACTGAATAGCTATTTCATCTTTAAAGAAACAAGTTAATACAATTTTTATCAATTATTATAGAAAATTAGGTTTTTTTCCGATTTTTGAAATCGGACTTGGAAGCTCAAATCAAAAATTTGAAATACAATCCGACTTCATGAATTTACAATTAAATCAAGTAATGACATTATTTCTGGTAGGTGCAACAGTAGTTTACCGATCTCATAAACCGATGGGGAAACCAAATCAAGGTAACAAACAAAACTGAGGAATCGAACCCAAAAGGAGCGATACTGGATGGGTCGACATGATAAACGTCTCCTGCTATCTTTAGACGTACCTGGCATAGACAACTTACAAAACATATAACCTTTAAGCTGGAATGTTTGGCAAACGAGGACAAAATTAACAATGCGAAGCTAATCATATATTTAATGTTTGCGTCATTACTGAAATTTCCAGACCGAAAAGAATGAAATTGATTTTATTCATTACATAACATTACATTGTCAGTAAATGTTTTTGCGTTGTAATTATATAATCAGTAAATTAATATTGTGTGTAATGTAGCAAGAAAACAGATTCGTTGTTTTAGTTTTTTTCTGAAAGCATCGTGTACGAGCTATTTGGTCATGCTTCATCTCATAATCCTATCAATAAGTTTTCTTTGAAGTCATGAAATAGGGCTTTGAAATAAATTAATAAAACAATTATCATTTTGAAATGACTCGAGTCTAGTTTTGAAACAAACACAGTTATCTATATGTCTCTATATTTAAAAAATAAAGACTATTTAGACAACATCCATGACATTTCTTTACTCCCATTCTACCTTATCTTTCATGAAAATCTTTATCAAGATTATATATTGCAAATGAGTTGTTTTACCTATCTACTTTTGAAAATACCTGCTTAGAGCGAAAAACAAACACTGCCCGACATGTTTTAATTGCTTAATCATGGAAAATTCATTTTGATGCTAAAGTATATTGTAATTAATACTAAATAAAGTCGATCTTAAAAGATTCGGCGTTTTTTCGCCAGGAACGCACGATAACAAAACATCTAAAAGTGTTCCATCGGTAGATCAACAATGTATGACATTAACAATATCCAAAGCAGCAGAATTGCATTGCCTTTTAGAATTGGGGATTGTTATATGCTTTGACATAGTCACTAAAAGAACAAAGCTGTAAGATTGAATTAAGAAATTTATAAAAGGGTAAATTATACGGCCATTTCTTTGATAAAAACAATCTAATATGTTAAGCCCTAGGAAAGCGATTTTGTTTTTTGTACAGATCGACTAATTACAGTGTCGTGCATGTAATATTAATGTGTAAATACTACGCGGAAGTTTAAAAGAATGACATTTTAACGTCTCCTATATTCACGGTCGAACGCTGCCCAAAGAATCAAATAGTAAACAATCATATATTTTACATATTCCTGTTTAAAGATTTCGTTAAACATTTGAAGGATCTTATAATATATTGGATACGTAACTACATAAAAACCGTCAGATTCGTTTCATCTTGCCATTCACTATTTGTTTTAAAGTCTCTGTGTCTATTATGAAATTCTTTTTAATTTTCATATATAAAGCATACTGAAATCAGCATGATGAATGAATTGAATACCTCAGTAATGTATAAAAAAAACCCTGTTGGGATGTTTTAGATAAATCCTGTGATTGGATTGTTATTTAATCATGTTGACAGTCATGACTTTATGACTTCTCGACTGTTTGCACAACACTCCTTTACGATATTATCTAGCAGATTGTTTTTAATGGCAAACATTTAATATATTTGCTGCAAATATATAAAAACTCGTAAAAGATATAAGGCTTTTAATTTGGTACGCCAGACACACGTTTCGTCTACATAAGATTCATCAGTGATTCTCAAATCAATAAAGTTGGAAAGCCAAATCAAATACAAAGCAAAAGAGCTTTAACAATGGAATATCACGAAATGTTTAGCCAAATACGGCTAAGGCAATCTATACCTGGGGTGAAAAAACCTTTGTTTTTTTTAATATTTCAAAATTCTATAAACAGTAATAATGAATATATCCATGACTTTTCATGTCAGCACCAATGTGATGTGCTGACTACTTGATTAGTGATTACATCGGAAGAGAAACATACCCCATCAGTGACATTGACACTGTGGTTACGTCAAAGATACCAGGGCATATGACTTGTTACACCAAACGCACGTTTCGTCAGATTAACTGCCTTCAAATATTTTGATAAATATCCACATAAAGCAAAAGAATGACTGTATAATTATTGTTACGTCACGGTACACTCTTTCAATGGGGTCAATCAAATATTAGGTCTGCAATACTAAGACTATATTTTGAAAGACAGTTATGATATGTTTAATGTTGATGAAACGTTAAAAATATTCAAACTGTATTCACTTACTTGTTTTAATGCTGTTTGTATTCCTTCTTGTACAATTTAAATCTTCACTGAATTCACTGTTTTAGTATTTTAAGGGAATGGAGTTATTTCATTACTCAACTTATTGCCAGCCATTTGTGACATATTTTTTGTTTAAACGTGTTGACTGTTTATGTTGAAATTATTATATCTTAGTTTCCTTTGTCTTTATATACTATATTGATGTATTTTAGGAAAATTCATGTACACAATTTGATGATTGTGAATGGTTTCCAATGTATACGCTAATGTGGCATCGGGACCAGCGTGGATTATCTGACATAAAGATAAACGGAAGTATATTGACAGACAAAGACATATTTCCTAATGCAAGATTTGGTTTTAATAAAAGAAAGTTTCTGGTCAGCACAATACCTGTAAGTAATATATTGAAGTTTTGTTGTCCCCTGTTTGAAATGTTTAGTGTTTAAACTTCTACGAAATGATAAATGTATTATCTATTTAGCGATATAGACTAGTCAAATCAACTACTATCTAGGTAAGAACATGCTTACATATTAGGTATACAAAATTCAAATTAAGAATTGTCTTCTAAAACTGTGTAAATTTGATGAAATATTAAAAACATAATAAACTCTCAAAATTGCCTACATGTATATCATATTATAATAGAAACAAACTTTAATTACAAAAATACAAAGAAAATCACATGTCCTTCGAACTTCCAGTACCTGTTCTACGAATCAGAACTATTCCCTCGTATTCCTTCTTATTGAAATATATCGGGAACTCTATCTTTAATATATCATGGTATTGTAACATTTTCATTTTCTATATTGTATTTTTATAATGTTGGTTTTATGACATTGTCTTAAATAGGGCCCCGCCGAATGGCGGACTCCCTATAGTGATCAGTATGTCTGTCCGTCCGTCTGTCCGTCTGTCCGTCCGTCTGTCCGTCCGTCCGTCCGTCCGTCCGTCTGTCCGTCCGTCCGTCCGTTCATAACAAATCGTGTCCGCTCTATATCTAGAGAACCGTTATGATTTCAAAGTTTACACTTGACATGTATATTAACCAACACCAGAGGGTGTGTCATAATGTATGTACAACTTCCTAGGTCAAAGGTCAAGGTCAAAAACTTTGGTTTTAGTTGACAACCCCATGTTCTATGGTAAAGATCGTGTCCGCTCTATATCTTGAGAACCGTTATGATTTCAAAGTTTATACTTGATATGTATATAAACCAACACCAGAGGGTGTGTCATAATTTATGTACAACTTCCTAGGTCAAAGGTCAAGGTCAAAAACTTTGGTTTCATTTGACAACCCCATGTCCAATGATAAAGATACAAATTTTTTACCACACATTATTCACAGCAGGGCCCACAGAGATGGCTCCCATCTCAATGATATCTAGTTAATTACGATTCTGATTTACGATGGCAACTACGCTTTAGCTGATTTAATAACATCAGAAAACATTTTGAAGTACTGACTATATAAGTTTCAATGATGAATATATTTGAAATTTAATTCGGTATCCTTTTTTAACGTGAAATGGGGAAAGTGTGATGCATTTAAACAGACAATTACATGAACGACAAGCTAAGTGATTTAGTCGAATTCTATTTATTTAACATCAAATGTCATAATAGGAAACTTGTTTTCTTTTTTAAAGATAAATTGTATTAGAAACCCGTCATTTAATCTCTTGAAAAGAAAATGCAATCGATCAAGGTTTCAAAATATAACGCCTTTCGTTAAAGTAATCCTTTATTCATTTTTTGTAAATTTGTACGCAGTTGCATTCAAATATTTTGTACTGTTTAGACGAAACTTGGAGCTCTACACCTACGTTAGTTATTCAGAACATACTTTTTTTTAAATGAGCTATAAACCAAGATGATGTTCGTAAGCGTTACAGCGTTAAAGTAATATTTTCTTAAATATAATTTATTACAAAAGATTGAGAACAGACATTTTTTTATTTGAATGTAAACACTTTTCAATCCAGTAGTTTTATTTCAAGAGTGCAACATTTGCTTTTAATCATTTCTATATTACACAATGAATTTTCGCAATTATGAATTATGAATTATAGCTCTTCAACTGTTTTGGTACTCTCTCAGATTTCAAATGTTTGGCATTGAGCGTTCCTGATGAAGGTAAATCCAGAAAAGCGCTTCGTACGCATGAAATTATTAAACGTGTTGTTTTAAATTTTTTACACAATTAATTTTCGCAAGCGGACTTCAAAGCGCCATTAAGAAATGTCTTTTAACAAAATTATTTCCAATTTTAAAATGTATGAGTAACATACATGTCATGATCATACATGCATGTTATTGCATTTTAAAGTATATTCTTTATAGTTTTATTTTAGTCGTATCCATTTGTGATATTGGATAACACAACAAAGACATACACTGGAATAACAATGAAACTTTTGAAACAACTGTCAGACGGTCTTAATTTCACGTAAGTACATTTCACTGTATGCCATCTTGAAATCAAAACCTATATGATGTTATTGAGAAGAAGAAATATTTTGATAATGGCATGGTATCTTTACACGCTCTTAACAGAACCCAAATCAAAGGAACAAATTTTAGATAATGTTCATTATTCATGACATCATGATATATATTTTATATCTACATCTGAAGTGCCTATATTTATTTTCGTCTAGAAAGAACCCAGAGGGTTGACCATAGACATATGTCATCCTTGTGATTCTTCTGTCTACAGTATAAGCTTGCTAAAGAGGGTGTCCGTTTGACTCTCCGTAGTTGATTTTAGAATACGAAGCCACGCAAGGTCAGACCGGGGTATATAAATCATATTCCTTGTGGAGAGAGAGTTCCATGCTCTCTGTACGGTGACAAACTTTAGCAACAACTCTATGATGTGTCCGTAAAAAATGCCCCTATCCAACATACCCTCCATTGGTAAATATTTCATGCATATTAGAGATTTCCAATAAAATGACATACGTACGTAACTCGACGTACGGACCTAATGGGACTGGTTATTGCCAACAATTGAATTTGATTAAATACATCGCTCAAGTTTAAACAAAATATTCCAAGACTTTTAAAAGCCCACACTGGCATTTTCGTCCATATAAAATAATTTAATCATGACGAAAAAATGATAGAAATCTTGCATTTTTATTTATCACGTGGTTTTCCAGATTGCCGCCTTTATTTTTACTGACATAAGATCACGTTTAAACACACGTACCCCATACCTATCATACGTTTGAGTTATTTTTCATGGTTTTGATTATGACAATTATTTTTCAATATACTTGGCAGATGAACGCCCCATTATACTTTTTTTTCTGTCTTTCTTTATAGTTTATCTTTTTATTATACTTGTTGCGTGAAAAATATTTAGAAGGATATTTTTTTGACAATTTCAGAAATATCGAAACCAGAGTTTGCCAGAATCGATCTCTTTATAAAAGTTGAAAATTGAGATAAAACTATTGCTTCCATTTAATTTCTATACAAAAGTATTTTTCGGTTACTATAAAATGTACCGATAAAAAAATCTCTATATATGTTGTTTTTTAGAATTAAGGTGTGTTCGATAGGGATTGTTCTGTATTACAATGTTTAACGGGAATGCTTTCGGAGTCCAAATACAAAAGACATTTCCAGGCAATTTTTTTTATATCCCTTGAAGTAAATTAACTTATAGTATTTTATCCATTTTATTGACAAACAATTAAAAGGGGGTCACCGAATTCATTTTACTGAATAAATCATTAACGGAAATGTGTAAGGTAAGTAACATTGAACAACATAATATAATAAGATTTCGTTGCCAGATGAGGATCCAGTATTTTGAAAAGGGGGGATATAGGCAACGTTAATAGGATGTATGGCCATATATATATATGTTTTCGTTGCATATGTATTTTACATATGCATTTTTAGGACGAGAAGATGAAACTGAACCAGACTTTGTATTATCCCGCAGGAAGACATGTCATCCTACCCGGACACATGATTTGGACCCCGGACCGCCCAATCTTTGCTGTAACTGCTTGGCAGAGAGGCAGCCAATCTTCGATTTGAAACGGGCGAGAATCGAGCCCAAGACTTCCCGCACTCGAGCAGTGGTGTAGCTTTCATTGAAGCAATGAGGCAAACGCATCACCAAATGTTTGACCATTAAAAAAGAGAGACAAAAGAATTATATACCGTGTACTTCAAAGTATAAAGTAAACTGAGTGTTGACGGTTCAAAACGTTGACTGCTTTACTCTTTTCTCACTCATTCCTCATTATGAACGTTTTGAAAACTTTCTCTCATAAAATGAACAAGGTAGATGCAAATATCTTTTTTTAAGTACGTAACAGACAAAGTATACCTCGCAAAAAACTGATTAAAACAAGAGGTCATAACTGTGAAACTGATATGATGCTTGATTTTTTTTTTACAACATACTTGTTACTTTTGGTGGAAAAATTTTTCAACAGTCACTTGGCATTCCTACATTTTATGTAGTACTCTTCTACCTTGGTTAATATAAGCAAGACTTCATAGTTCACCCAGTTATTATCATCCATATATTTTGACAAAAGCTAAACGTTTAAAGTTAAAAGACATAGTGGATCTTAAACTGAATATCCCCAAATCTGTACAAAAACATTTTAGAGGAGGTCATACATATAATTCAGTCATTTATTTTTGTTTTGATCAGGACCTGTCTGTAACTGAATACTGAGAATTAAACCTTTAACCAGCAGTTTCATTGAAATATGTTGAATTAAAGCGCACTAGAAATATTATTTAATGATAAAATTCCACAAATCTGGATTTTTCGTAGACGGGGTTTTTTGCCAGTATGTGACCTATCAAGAGTATGATCATCTACACCTATTTTGCAATTCATATTTTCAATTAACCTCCACTCCCTATTGGCATTGACGTCTTTTAACCAAGGTGAGGCTTTGACTGTCAAGATTCAAATCATTTGCCTCACCAGAAATATAATTCAAGTTACGCTACTGTCGACTGATTGATAGTTGGTTACTTAACATCCAGTGGCAAATATTTCATGCATAATTAACGTGTAGAAAGCGTGGTATTCTCTCTACAAGAGGCCTTGGATTTAACGTCCCAACTCTAACCGGGCGGGACTGCGTACTTGTACATCCCGCACAGACAAATGGACTCCCAAATTGCCAATCGGAACAAGACCAATAGTGACCATATTTTTATTCCCCGATCAACTTGTAGGGGTAACTGTCGAGGCGAGCGCGCGACCAAAGAGACAGTTATGAATATGGCAGATACATATAAATGTAAGTGTATTAATAAAAACATTTGCAACAAGAATGTGTGAACTTAAGAGACCGTGCACCTTTACATGATCATATTTCCATGTTCAGTGCCTGATGTGTAAATGACATTTTGTAATGCAAATGTATATAAAAGGTCTACCAGATATAAACCTAATCACAATCAATTGTTAATCCAGTCGACCATATCCATAATTGTACTAGGTTTTCTTACTATGGAGATCTGAGTCACAAAATTTGAAATGGCTTCTGATATGTGTCGACTTTATACAAGATGTTTTTAACATAATCGTTGCTGGCATAAATTGAATGAGACTTTAACATACTAAGTATTATTTAATATTGGAAAACATAAGTATCTATCTATCATCTAACGTTTTTGTGGAATTCTCGAGTATGTGTTCCTAATACAGGCGAAATTGTTTATTGTATAAGCAGATATGATCTAATAGGACCACCAGACGGTAATTGGGGAGCAGAATTAGACAATGGTTATTGGAATGGTATGGTGGGACAACTTCAACGAAAAGTTAGTATTTCTATGGATTACTCTGTATGTGTTATATGAACTGTATGTTTTGCTTAAAACTTGAGATCAATTCTTTATTGAAAAAAACGTATCCGTATAATTTAAAATGTTAGTGTTAATATATATATGCTAGTAACCTTACGATAAACCCCAATACATTGTTTGTCAATAATTTCAGAACTGTGATTCGACAATTCTACTCATGCTTTGCTTTTATTATTTTTTATATATCATTTATTAGAATTTTGGTTTTCCCTTTCTAGTCCTTTTCATTACATGCTGCCAAGGGATCTTATTTGTTTTGTATGTGTTTATTTATGTTTGTTTTTATCAAATATAATTATATAAATTGATTAATTAAATATTTGTATAGTCCAACTAATGAACTTTTTGAACGGATGTAATATCCGGATGTTACTTATTTAGATATGGTTTAAAAGCGTTACATATGATTCCATTTATCGGAAGGATATCACTTCCTAATGAAAATCAGTTATAAAACCAATCAACAGTTGACTTTAATATCTTTTAGAAATAGAGTGTATGTTTTCTATTAACGACTTTTTTACTTGACACTGAAATTTGCAATGCAAAAAAAAACCGGGAAAATCAATTTCATTACACAAATACCGGATACAAAAATAGACACAAAAGTGCAGATATGGCGTGCGTTAAAAATTTTAAATATGTGAGATTTAAATAAAAAAAAACTGTTTACCTTCTATTTCTGTCTTTTTTGCGACATAAACTGAAGTGTTCTTTAGTCTATCAACATGATCAAGTGGATATGCAGTCAAAACCAATAGGAGAGCATGGTTTGCAGATTGATTTAATCATATATACATTTGATGTATGAGAATCAAACGCATAATCACAACCCCAAGCGAAGAAAGGTACTCCTGGATAAAACTAAATGATTTGTATATACTTTTTCCAAACCATATATGGTTTGGATTTCCTACATGGCACATAAAGCAGTATTTTAGTCCGACTTAAAATCAGTTTATTTCAATAAGATATCGGTTGTCATTTGGTATTTGATAATATGTTTTACAGGAAGTTGACATGGTAGCGACCGCTCTGACTGTTCTATCACAAAGAGAAATGGTGATGGATTTTACCCATCCTTATTACTATGAATTCTCGTCAATTATAGTCAAGAAACCCGATCCTAATGAAAAACAATGGACTAAACTACTTGATCCTTTCAGTTCGACAGTTTTCTTATTTGTTGGGATTTCGGTACCAGCTTGCTCGTTTTTACTTTTTTTCTTTGAAAAGTACAACCCGTTCTACAGCAAAGTCATACAGAGAAAGAAAATAAGAGGACTGCATCACTTCTCCGATTCATTTTATTATATGTATGGTGCTCTTTTAACGCATGGTAAGAAACATATAACAATGTATTGAAATTTGTATACAAACAAGACTATTGAGAATGATTTCTTTCTTTGGTATATTTAAATGTTTTAGTTTCAAAATTAAGTATTTAAAAAGTTGTGACGACCCACGGAAACCACACAGACAAGTATGCAGTGGCAATTTGTTTATTTGTTCTGAAGATATAAACTCGATGACCTGAACTAGATTTTATCCTTGATATCCTAACTGTCCAAACAAATATCCAAACATTTTCTATCGATTAATTATTTGGGAGGAGACTAACATCAACTGGTAATGATAAAAAAGTTATGCGCAATCATTTATGAGGTATTGTGGTATTTAAGGAGATTCTGAAATATTTCTGGACTTTTTATAATTCAAATTTTAGAAAAAAAAGTCAGTCAAAGCAAATTGAAGTTATATATCAAACAAGGAAAAAGATCAAAACCAAAGCGTCAGTCCAGAAAAACAGAAATACAAACCAGTGGACAATACAAAGGATCGATGACAAACAAGGGACAAATTAACGCTAATAACTAGAGACCTGTATTAGACTTACAAGACATAATGATAAATTCTATATGGGTATATGATGTCATTTATGCTTTAAATGACTATTACAGATACGATCAATTTCCTGTACCAGCGTTTTACTGTTGAAAAGTTCAGAATATACCCATTCAAAAAAATCAAAGACAATATGTATCATCCGTCCTCAGGCATCCTTCCTCCAGCCATTTCAAATAAATTGTGTTTTTAAATTCGAATGAATTATGGATCTTATATATATTACTCCAATATGATGAAAATGATTATATTAGGTCTTTTACAGTAAGTTAGGAATTTTGTTGTTTTTTTGTTGTTGCTTTTTTATACATTGTAATTGCAGACAGAGAAATCATTCTGACGAAGAGACATTTTATCTCTGCAATTCCCTTTTACTGCAGTGCATTTTTGTTGTCCATGGTTATCCTGGTCTTAACTCTGTCACGAACTGTTTTATCTGTGTTGTAATATGTAATAATTGCTGACACAATGCAAAAGAAGGATGTAGGAATAACTTCGTCTGCATTAGCAGACAAAATGAGACTTAGAGATTTTTTAACTTGTGCAATATTGTGTTTTCGAAGGAGAAATACTGATGCCTAATACTGTTTAGAATTTGCATGGCTAAGATCAATAAAACTGTTCCGATTATGATCATTTCGACGTTTCATACCAAATATTTAGTAGTCTATTTCCAATTATCAATAAAAAAAAGTATATGTACATTAAACGCACAAACGATATTCTGTTATTATTTATTTCTGTTATCAGTATTTTTTTCATCTCATTGTTAATTTCAACACAATCATAATCTATAGTTTAGCACCCCATTATTCTCTATTCTTTATTTTTTACCATTTTTTTCTATTTTGTATTTCTTTTTACGATAAATCGCTATTCTGTAAACCCGCCCCACACTCTTATGTAAAACATTAAGAAAAATAAGAATGATTTCTGCCTAAAGATTTCCTAGTTGAGTTCAGATTCAAAATAAAATAGCAATTAAAGAAACTGTAAACTGAAAAAAAATCAGGTATAATCTATTCAAGATTATGATAGATGCATTGTTAGTTATGTAAGCGAATCACAGTGAACTAGCGTTCAAGTTTAATATTACCCTGTGCAACAAACGCATCTGAAAATAATTAATTAAGAACTATATAGATATCGACGCAAACTTTTGAAATATTAATATCTGAGTTCTATATTACTGTTACTAGTACATAAAACTTGTGAACGCATTACTTTTTATAAAACAGTACATTTCGATATCTATACAAACATATTGTATTTCAGGCGGTAAGCACATTCCAGCATCGTCATCAGGAAGGACACTTCTTAGCTGCTGGTGGATATTTTGCATAATAATAGTAGCGACATACACCAGCAATTTTGTCGCCTTTTTGACTATTACTAAAGAGACGCTGCCGTTCGAAGGCATCGAGGGACTAGTAGAACAAAACATATATAAATGGGGAACGATTGGAGGATCGGTGTATGAAACCATTTTTAAGGTAAAAACGAACCAACTGGCTACTATCTGACAAGAGTAAACGATAGTCATCAATTCGATATCGTATTTCTTTATTTTATCATAATAATATAATCAAAATATAATAATGTAACCTTTCATTAGGATTTGATGAAAGATTGTTCGTTATAAAATGTTAAGTTCTAAGAATTCAGAAAAAGAGGTTGGAGATAGAAAAAAATCGAAATCTCTACTTCGAAAAAGAAGATAATCGATAAAGGAAACGACGACAAACAGCAGTCGTAATAACAGTAAACAGAAAACTATACATTGTGCATTATATATTACACCCAAAATATATTATTTATTTAGCCTGCGTTATTTAAACTACATTATACTCCATATGTTATATACATACATTGTGATGAAATTTTCAGTTCACAAATAGCTTAATAATTAAAAAAAAACACCACTATGAAGTGAAGGGCTCCGAAAATCAGGTTTAAGACTATGTTTCCGTTCGTTTCACTTCAGAGTACGTTTAGTTAGTTTAATGTTCGGTGTTAATAATCATGAATGTTAGGAACATACATGCAGCTTTGTCTTTGATTTGCATGGCTTATGTATAATTGTCCTCCGGATACTGCCTAATCTCTCTGACGATTGTAAAATGATTTCTTCCTACCGGTCATTGATTTCTCTATTTATGGCCCCGACATGTCTATTATATATAAACTCATCATAAATATATACCAGGATTAAAAGTTTGTACGCCATACGCGCATTTCGTCTACAATAATTCATTAGTGACGATCGAATCAAAAAGGTTGAAGTTTAAGAGCATTGAGGACACTAAATTCCGAAAGATTTTGCCAAATACAGCTAAGGTTATCTATTCTTTGGGTAGAAAATCCTCAGTATTTCGAAAAAATAAACAGGTAAAGTATAAATCAAGTGTTTCATTTTCTTCCAAACTAAACCGCCTCGGTGCTGTCGTTGTAGTGTGGTCACCCCAAGGGTAGGAGGACCAATACCCTGAATGTACTGGTTAAAACCAACGGCTTGAACATTTGGATTTGCTCTATCTGCACATGGTATTTAAGGAAAACGAGCATAACTGAGTCGGAATAATAGTTTTTTTTTCATGCAGACTGTTATCTTCTGAAACAGCATATTTAATAAATGGCACAGCATGTCTGTCCAGTACAAATCAAGGTTCATATTCAAAGCATATTGACATGTTCACATCCTGGTCTAAATGTACCAATTGCCATTTGACAGCAATCCCTCCATCCATCTTCCAAACTATTGTGTATGATGGTTATCTATTCTATGTAGCAATATTCCAGTAGTGTTTGTATGTGAAATATATACCACCCAGTTGATACAATATTCAAGAACTTTGTCATATCAGTACCATAATCTATGACAAAAGAGACGATTTCAATTTTGAAATTATAAACCAACTTTACCCGCGTATGGAGTATAATTTTCTTAACTCATACGATATCCAAGAGCTTGTAGCTACTACTCAGACTTTGTAAAACGTCATCTGTGTCTGAGCAAAAAAAAATAACGAGCAAGGGTTTTGTCAAAAAACATATCGTCCTTTTCTCAAAATGTTCATCAGAAAGTACCAAGACTGAATAGATAATACTTCACAAATTATACGGGTATGATCTTGAGTAATAGATTCTAGGTGCTGAAGCTGTTTATCCTTTTATTTACTTTACAGTTTCCCCTTTTTTTTAATCGTGTTATTACGTTTCTTCTGGTCGTTTGACTAGGTATCTATGCATCCTTAGATCGGGTTTTTGAAATTAAGTGTTCCTGGTGCATATGGGTTCTTAAGTGCAATTCGGTCGAAAGAGGTTTTAACAGAGTTGCTTTCATTTTGTTTAACCTTTTCAAATACAAAAACTTTTTATCGGCGTCCTTGATAATTTACTACCAACCACAAAAACGTTTTCATTGGCGTCATTGTCAAATTTCCAATCAACTATAACACCTCTTTTGTTGGCGTCTATAGTCGATTTATTTGTATAAAATAGAGAATGAAAATGGGGAATGTGTCAACAACCCGACTAAAGAGTAAAAAACAACCGAAGGCCACCGCACTCGCAGGCGGACTTCAGATGGCCCCTGAACAAAAAATGTGTACTAGTTCAGTGAAAATGGACGTCATACTAAACTCCTAAACATATAAATGAACTAAAATTAAAAACAAACAAAAACAAAAACAAACAAACAAGACTAACAAAGGCCAGAGGCTCCTGACTTAGGACAGGCGCAAAAAATGCGGCAGGGTTAAACATGTTCAGTGAGATCTCAACCCTCCCCTATACCTCTGGCCAATGTCTGTTTAAGGAGTATGTTCTTTAATGCCCTTAATTAGCACCTATTTCTAGCTAAAATTTCAAATAAGGATTTTATTGACCTATATCACAATGAATCACATTGATTCAAAGACTAGACAGGAAATACGTCTTTTTGTTGAAAATTTACGCCCTAGCGTTATTTTAATGTCGTCACAATTAGCAAACATTATATATAAATAACAAGTATATATATTTGTTTAGGGGCCAGCTGAAGGACGCCTCCGGGTGCGGGAATTTCTCGCTGCATTGAAGACCTGTTGGTGACCTTCTGCTGTTGTCTGTTCTATGGTCGGGTTGTTGTCTCTTTGACACATTCCCCATTTCCATTCTCAATTTTATTATGACTTTTCACGACAATTCCATAAAATAGTTCAATTTCCATTGATTTTTTTTACTCATGTGTCGACAAAAAAGACCTTTTCACATAATGTTTGTTATAACATTTACATATCTGACTTAAATATATTGGTTGTCGAAGGTTGCGCTCTATATTTACTAGCTCTACATTTGATTGAAATTCAGTCGATTTGGTCAAATTTCACCAAATCTCTCCATTCTGCTTATTTAGGTTGTGAATTTTTACACTTTGCCAAAAAAAA